CACCAATGGCGAATGATTTACTCAATCATGCCTAGGTAACAAGGCCTATATGAAAACCAAAAAAGACAAGGTTCAGAGAGCTTCTGGGTTGGTGAATATGTGGAGATGCTGGGAGGGTGGTATGCTTGGAGAATGGAAGCTCCATGACCCTTCCCACATACCTTGCCCTATGGCTGTGCCTGAGTTGTATCCTTTTATAATGAACTGGTAACTTAGTAAGTAAACTGTTTTCCTTGAGTTCTGTGAGCCATTCTAGCAAATTATCAAAGCGGGTAATGGGAACCTCCGATTTGTAGCCAAATCAGACAGAAGTCATGGGTAAGGTGGGGACCACCACTTACAATTAAAGTCTGAAGCAGGAGTGAGGTGGGTGGGGGGGGGCAGTCTCATGCAACTGATCCCTTAACATATGTGGTCTGCTCTAAGTCCAGGTAGTTATTGTCAGAATTGAGTAAAATTGTAGGAACACGCAGTTGGTATCTGTTGGAGAACTGAATTAAATTATTTTGGGGGAAAACCCCACAAATTTGGTGACAAAAATGAAGTATTGTATGAGTATAGAGTAGAGAAGAAACAGGATTTCCTTTTCAGTGTTACACACATACAATGGAATATTATACAGCTTTAAAAAAGAAGGAAATCCTGCAATATAAGACAACACAAATGTCTTTGAGACATTATGCTAAATGAAATAAGACAGTGACAGAAGGATAAATACTACATCATTCCACTTATATGAGGTATCTGAAGTAATCCAACACATAGAAGCAGAGAGTGGAATGGTGGTTGCCAGGGGCAGAGGGCTGGGGGAAATAGTAAGTTGCTAATCAAAGTGTATAAAGTTTCAGTAAGGCAAGATGAATAAGTTCTGGAGATGTGCGGTCAAACATTGTGTCTATATTGTATTGTACACTTAAAAAATCTGCTAAGAGTATAGATCAGATGTGTTCTTTTTTTTTTTGTCTTTTTTTTTTTTACTGACCGGTAACGGGATCGCAACCCTCGGTGTCGCGCCCGCACCGCGCTCAGCCAGTGAGCGGGAACTGGTCTCCACATGGGATCCGAACCCTCGGCGGGAGCGCCACCGCGCTCCCAAGCGGCGCACTCTCCAGTGCGCCACCGGGCCGGCCCTAGATCAGATGTGTTCTTACCACAATAAAATTAAAATTAAAACAAAGTAGAGTGGAAAAATAAACTGTAAAATAATCATCTAGAGCAACAAAAATAAAAAATTTATTAAAAATTATTTTTAAATTATCAATATTACTTTTTAAAAATTAAAAAACCTGTATCTACAATACAGAAGAATCTCACAAACATAATATTGAGCCAATCAGGAAAGACACAGTAGAATACATATTGTATCATCTCATTTATAAGAGTTCAAAGCCAGGCAAAACTGAACTATATTATTTATGGTTGCATAGAGGGGTAAACTATGAATACAAAAAAATTATTATCACAAGGGCCGGCCCGGTGGCACACTCAGTAGAGTGCGGCGCTTGGGAGTGTGGCGGCACTCCCGCCGAGGGTTCGGATCCCATATAGAGACCGGTCCGCTCACTGGTTGAGCGTGGTACGGGCGCAACACTGAAGGTTGCGATCCCGTTACTGGTCACGAAAAAAGACAAAAAGGAAAAAAAAATTATTATCACAAAAGTCAGGAGAATAGTTATCTTTAATGTGGGGAGGAGGTTATGATGAGGAAAGTACACTTCTGGGGTACTGGTAATGTTCTATTTCTTGATCTGGATGATGGTTATGTGTAATTAGTCTTTACATTTACTATTTATACAATATAATTTTTAATATATAATTAAACTTTATAAGCATTCTTCAAATTATATATATAATATACTTTAAAAAATATATCTTGTTTCTCACAATAAAAATTTTTTAAAAAGAAAAATTAGCAACAAGGCTCAGTGGGTTAAATCATGGTGCTGATAACATCAAGGTCAAGGGTTCAAATCCCCTTACTGCCAGCCGCCAAAAAAAAAAAAAAAAAAAGGGAAAAAAGAAAAATTAGCAACAAATAACAGATAAAGGATTAATATTAAAAACATATAAAGAATATCCAAGTTCCTATGAACAAATGATCAGGGAGTATAAACACATAGTTCACCAGAATACATATACATACTAAATAAACTTACGAAAAAATGTCTAACTTAAAAAAATAAATAAATAAAAGAAAGAAAACTGTAGGATGATGTCTGGGAAGAAAGAAAAGAAAATGTCCAACTTCTCTAATAATTAATACCTATTAATTTCTAATAATACTTCTTAGTTTACTAAGAAGGAGAGAGGAATATTATGATAATTTACAAGATAAATGACAACCACGAAGACTGAGTAGCTACATGGAATAATTTAATATTGAAAAAGCACAATACTACATTATGATTATAGCTACTTAAATATGTATAGCTAATTTTACAGCTAAAATTTGTTTTTTATTTTTGTTTTTTATTATTATTATTTTTTAAATTTTATTTTGTCGATATACAATGTGGTTGATTATTGTGGCCCATTACTGAAACCTCCCTCCCTCCTCCCTCTCCCCCCTCCCACCCAACAATGTCCTTTCTGTATTACAGCTAAAATTTGGAAAGGACTCATAAGAAATGAAGAAGCTGAAGTGACTGAAAGATAGGATTATGGGCCGAGCCCATGGCGCACTCGGGAGTGCGGCGCTGGGAGCGCAGCAGCGCTCCCACGGTGGGTTCGGATCCTATATAGGGATGGCTGGTGCGATGCGCTCACTGGCTGAGCGCGGTGCAGCCAGTCACAAAAAAAAGGACAAAAAAAAAAAAAGATAGGATTATGACTGCAACATTTTTCTTGATATTGAGAATATGTTTCAATAAGATACAGGAATTTTTTTTTCTTCTCTTTTTTTATTGAAATATAATGGAATATAGATATTTGGGGGGTACAGTGTTGACTACCACTATTTGTGTACAATATGTGATGATCAAATCAATATTATTAGCATATTCATTATTATAAATCGTAATTGTTCTTTGTGCCCCTCACCCAATTTCTCCCTAACCTCCCTCTCCCTCCCCCAAGATACAGGAATTTTTAAACAAAGTAAACTCCATCATTCCTTGGGTTTCTAGAGAACAAAGACCATATGTCATAACTCCAAGAACTTCCATTCTCTAGTGACTACTCTCTGCCAGGCATCGTGGTAGGCACTGAAGTACAGAGATGAGTAAGACATAATTACTGCCCTCAAGGAACTTCTGGACTATTGAGACATAGACACGTCAACAAATAATTACAATGCAATGGGATAAGTTTGACAATAAAGTCTTTTCTTAAAAGCCTATGGCTTCCCAGATGAAGGAAAAACAGGAAAATCATAGAGAAGCTTTTCAAAGAACACTGAATCAGATCCTGAAGGACAAGTGGAACCTTTCAGATAGGATTGAGGTTGTGAAGGGTAGTCTATGCACTATTTGTGCAAAGGTTGAGGTAGAATAGTATATGGGTTAGAGAAGAGACTGCTCAAAGGCCTCATGTATCATACTAAGGAGTTTAGATTTTATCCTACAGGTAATCGAGACCCTTGGGGCCTTTCTGCACTAACTCGTTCCCAGGGTTATTTTTCAATTACCTTGGGTCTCTTTGTTCTATCCTTTCTTCCCTTAAAAGAAATCTATGTATAAATATTTCAAACATAGAGAAGTACAGAAAATAGAATACCCATGTACCCATGAACCAAATTTAAGAAGTTATATTCTATTTCTCTCTCTTCATAAAAACATTTCAGATATATTTAAAAGCCCACTCACTTCCCTTATCTCATCCCCTTCCCTTCCCCCTCACAGGTAATACTTTCAAACAGTACAGCACCTCAATTTTATTCTATTTACTATTCTCCAAGCAGAATACTTCTGCTTCCCCTCTTTTCCATCTTCTGATCTCTCTACCAGTCTCTTCCATTTCTACTCCTTAATTCTGACACTGGAGCAAAAGTGACATTTATCTACACTGGTGGCACCAGGAGCTGTCAGGCTCCTGCTCAATCTCACATCATTAGGTGTCTAAAGTTCTGTGTGATTTAGGGGCAGATAAGGGAGAAAGCGTGATGTTGTGGGTGATGATTTGGAGTCAGGCGCTTAGTTCAAATCCAGTCTCTACCGCTTAATCACCAAATGCCCTTTCAGCAAACACAGCTCTTTAGACTTCAGATTCTCCATGTCTAAAATGGGGGCAATTCTACCTATCCCTCTGGGTAATGATAATAGAACCTTACTATGTACCAGGTACGCTTTAAAGCATTTATTGCATATATTAAATCGTTTAATCCTAACAAAAACTCCAGGAAGTGGAAGAGATCATTTCCCCTATGTGACAGATGACAATGGAGGCACTTAGAATTTAGGTAACGTGTGGACAGTCACAGAGCCAGGATTTGAACCCAGACAATCTGACACAGTCTGTGTTCTTAACCGCTTTTTTAAAAAAATATTTTTTTGCTGGGGTATTGTGAAACTACAATTTTAAGACAGTGGGTGCCAGGATACGTCACACAGCAGACACTCAAAAACACCAGTAGCCCGGCTCATGATTATGGAAGGCCAGAGAAAAAGTACGAAGTGTTTCGGTTTTCCCTGAGGAGGGAAACGGGGGTAGTGCCAGAGGTCTGGGCTGGGGTTACCCAGTGACTGCTCTGTGCCAGGCATCATGTTAGGATTTGGAGTACGTGGACAAGAACATAACGGGGGCTAGGCTCGGTCTGCAACCGACGCCCCGGGCCACCCTGGCAAAGTTCGACCCCGTCCCCGGGCCTCTGTTTCCCCATTTGGGAACGTGTATGTGTCTGCTCCCCTTCCAGGATGCTCTCCAGACCAGAGGACTCAGCGGCCCTAGGCGAGCCACAGCGGACAACGGAGGAACCGGAGAGGCCTCCAGCTCCGGGCCGGACCGCCGGGAGCCGGGCTGGGCCACGGCGGGCCGGGCCGAAGTTCCGCGAGCGCCGCACTCACCTCTCACGAAGGTTCGGAGCGGGCCGAAGCAGGATCCAAACTCCCCGCGGCGACCACGGGCCCGACGCCGCGCGCTAGCTCACTTCGCGCCGGAATCCGACGGCTTCCGATTGGCCACGTCCTGAGGAAGCCGACCAATAGCGTTGCCCGGCGGCATCCGTCCCCGCCCCCTGGGCCGCTGGGGCGGGGTCGCCGGACGCTGGCGGAGGGGCACGTATTCCCAAAGCCCAATCGGAGTCCGGAAGGGAGGGTCAGGTGACTAGGGTTCGCTCGCGGGCTTCCGGCCCTAGGCGGGTTCTTCGTTTTTGGTGTATTTCTTGGTGTTGGTGAAGGCGTTCGGTGAAACCGCCAGCCGGAACCCCGACTGTGGCGGGATTGAAAAGCCCCGATGTTGAAGGGCCAGGCCAAGCCTCTGCGTCCCCGTCTCTTGGCCCTGACTGTCGGTCTCTGCGAGGCTCTGGCGCTCCCTCCTCTCCACTCCCTTTAATCACGCCGGCCCGCGTCCCACCCGTACTCTACACGAGCAATTGCGAACTGTCATTGACGGAGAAAAGGGGTTGGAAACGCAGATGCCTCCAAGGACACGTGCAGTCCCCGAGTGAGAAGCCATGCTTCGGCTCCAGCTGATTGTTGCCACGCAGGAATGTGGGCCGTGTGATGCCAGATCTTGCTTTTTCTTTTCTTTCCTTCCTTCCTCCTTATCTCCTTCCCTCCCGCCCTTACTTTCTCCCTCCCTCTCTTTTAAAAAAACCTGATAAACCTATTTCTGTTTTGTTTGATGCTTTGCGTGTGCGTGAAATCTGCCGATTTTTAAATGTTGCAAAAACAAAACGCTGCAGCCAAGCAAAGCACGTTGTTGTTAAATTACTCCCCAGCCTACCCTTTTGTACAGGAAAAATCAGAGTAAAGTAAGCAGATTTTTAATAGCAAAATGGCCAAGCAAGAAGCGGGATAGAGACAATGCAAAGGTGTGAAACAATCTACCAAAAGAATAAAGCCGCTGACACTCAGGCCCAAACGGTATCACCCAAAGTGATAAGTAGGATACTCACAACCCAATAGGGGGTGACACTCCCGCTGAAATTGCCTGCCTCTCCCACTACTTTAATTCTCCTTTTGCTTTTGTATCCACTGTTCTTCAAATCTGTGCCCTTCTCTAGTGCGAGCCATTGCGAGGGCATATTCTGTGGAAGAGGAAGACAAGGACACTAATGGTGTCAATATGAGCAATAAGAATGCTGACATGTTATGGGAGTACCCAGGAGGGATCCAAATGCAGATTTGCAGGTTAGGTAAGGCTTTCCCGAGAAGGTGTTCTGAGACTGAGAGATGAATCAGGGTATGATTTGGAGGCAAAGGCCAGGAAACTGGAAGACTGTAAGGCATCTTTGAGGAAATATCAGGAAAATGAGGGAAAGGGAGAGATGACCCATGACAGGAAAAAGAGACCAGATCTGAGTTTGGACTTCACCCTGAAGGTAAACGGCAACTGTTGGAAGGATTTTGTGGAGGTGGGGGTGGGGTAGTGAGAGGTTTGTGCACTAATCTTAATCTTAAGTATTTATAAAATACATGACACATGCTACAACATGGATGAACCTTGAGGACATTATTCTAAGTGAAATAAGCCAGTCACAAAAGGACAAATATGGTATCATTCCATTTATGTGAGGCACCAAGAATTCATAGACAGAAAGTAGAATAGTGGTTACCAGGGGTTGGGGGGACAAGGTAATCGGGAGTTATTAATAGGTAGAGTTTCTATTTGGGATGATGGCAAAGTTGTGGAGAATGATAGAGGTGACGGTTTCACAACAGTATGAACGCACTTCATGTCCACCGAACTGTACACTTAAAATGGTAAATGTTATATTAGGTCCACTTTAACGCGCACACACACACAGGACTGAGGACTCAGAGGTGGCAGCCCCTGTCTCAGTTGTACCTGGAGGGTTTTGATTTATGGTGGTGACTGACGTGACACAGAGAGACTAATGCCATTGAAAGAATTTATCACCTACATTTCCCAAGAAGAGGAGGCACACCACACCACACAGGGCCACATGGAGAAGCACCAACTTTGGTCAGGAGGCAGACAGGAGACAAGAGAAAGCCTAAGCCAAAATCTTCACTGGGGTTCCTGTGGGAAAGGCAAGACAGGGCAGAGAAACAGTTTAGGGTGGGCTAGTTTGAATAGTTCTGGTGGGCTTTGGGGCATAGGAGCTGTCCCTAGCTGTCTGGTACCTGGCTCTGGGTTAATTCCAGGCAGGGGACATGTTGGCTTGGTGTGTGAGAGTTAGATAAAGGAGGTGGCTGGAGGTATGGACTTGGTACTAGTTGGGAGGGTTTGTAATATGATTTTTGATGCACCCACAAAAGCAAGATTGTAGGGGAAATGTAAATAACTTCGGCTGTTAGTGTGGCTCTGTGATTAACGGATGTCAAATAGACAAATACAGGATCTAAGAAAACACAACAATTGACTCTATGGCTATTCGGCATCATTTTAAGGAAACTTGGAGTGATGATAATGGAGACTTTCAGGGAGTAGGTCATAAGTTGCCCCAAACAACATAGAAGACATTTTATCATGAGAAAAGAAAAGAGGAACACAAGTAGAAATATAAGGAGTCCTAGGCAAGCCCATAACTAGGTTTTCCATTTATATGGCATTAGCCAAGAAGATGGAAAATTGGGGGGTTTCTAACAATATCTGTAGAGAGCACCGACATTAATAAAGCAAATGTATCTCACAGGGCCTAGCCTCCAAAGCCCTATAGTTTCAGGTTTAGCCTAACTTTTATTATTTTTATTTTTTAATTTTTATTATTATTATTATTTTTTTAAAGATGACCGGTAAGGGGATCTTAACCCTTGACTTGGTGTTGTCAGCACCACGCTCACCCAGTGAGCTAACCGGCCATCCCCATATGGGATCCAAACCCGCGGCCTTGGTGTTATCAGCACCACACTCTCCCGAGTGAGCCACGGGCCGGCCC